TGCCCTGGAGAGCCATGGTATCTCCTTCGCTTTCTTACAACCTGAAAAATCCCAAGCCCTAAACCCTCAAATCTCAAACGCACACCCAAAATCCCAAGGTCTGAGGTGTGGTATATAAATCCAGTTTCCCGTGTCATTTTCACTTTGGCTCTTCACTATCCCTACTGTAAGCTATTCACCCCCAAAAAAGTTCAACCATTCATACCCCTGTATACAACTCGATGTAAACAATGAACCCTACACACCACCATCTAACCGCATATCAGCCCTATACCCCTATGTAAAACCCTAAACCCTACCTCCCATTTAAGCCAAACAACTATGATAGACCACCCTTCAGAGGGTCTTCTTACAGTTCCAAGGAGTGAAAGGAGGCACGATCCCCATAGTAGCCACGGCTTAAAATTCAGGGTTTACGGGTTTAGGATTTAGAGCTTAGGGCTGAGGATAATCCCATTGTGGTTTCCATTCTCCTTTCAATTCCTCCATATTCTACTATCAACTCCAAGCCCAAAACCTTAAACTCTGAGTATCACCCCATCTCAGCCGTTTAAACCCCATATCACCCTCACAACCGACCAATCCCTGTGCATCCTCTTAATTACCTGATTGCCACCTAAATGTAGATTTAGATACAGATATGACCCCAAGCCTTTCAACCGCCAAGCCCCCGGCCGTGATGCAATGGGAACCGTCAGGCACGGCCCACTGACGGCGGCCATCCCTAATGATTTCTTCTTAGGGTTTACGGCGTTTAGGGCTAGGATCTTAAGAGGGGTTTACTTAGATACAGGCTATAGGGCTTGTATAGGTGTTATTGCTGTTGCCATCAATAGTATTGAGTAATTGTTGTTTATCATCTTTGAAATAAGTCTTCCTGTCCATTTTCTATATCTTTTCAAGCCTTCTTCTCAGGGCTGATGGTTTGGGGCTTTTAAAGCTGCAGCTCCTAGGGCTTGGTTTTAGGTCTGCTTCCCCCCCAACAGTCCAGAATGAGTAGTGCGAGTTTTGGTGGTTGACCATAGTAAGACTACATTCTGTATATTAAGTACTGTACCTACAAGGAGGATATATTCTTGCTCTATACTGGGACCTTTCCTTAGCATCCCAAAAAAATTATACTCATTTCTTGGGAAAATCCCTTGTCCAGGTTAAGGTGCTTGAGAGGGGGGTGTTGGTCACCTACTCATCACATTACAAGGGCCTTCGGCTAACAGAAAGTTTGGACAGTCAGTCCGGAATCCCTTAGAGCTATAATTAATAAGAACCCTAAACCATAGTATATAGCCCTCAATATTAGCACTATTATAGCTGTTACTGGGTGGGGGCCAGTACCCAAGTGCAAGAGAGCTGCATAAGGCTGAGTTCTGCACTGCCGTATTCCCCCTAGGCCTATACTATAAATGATCTGTTCTAAGAGTGGTTGGGGCTTATGCTACAATGAACCCTAAGCCCCTAAACCTAGCCTAAACGTCAAAAAACATCCTAAGGGGAAAGAACAGTAGCGCTGGTCAATTCTGCATCTACGGAATGTCCGGGATACAAACAGCATCCAGAAAGAGTTTACGATCAGGGGTCTAGGGTTTAGGAGTTTAGGGGTTTAGTGGTTAGGGTTTAGGATTTAGGGGTCTACTGTAGGGTTTAGGGATTAGAGTTTAGGATTCAAGGCTTAAGGTTAATGGTATCAAGGCATGACATGCATGCCAAGCATCTCCATTTCTGATTCCCTAAACCAAAACAGGCTACAGTCTGCACTTTTATTACAGCGGCGCTCTCGGACACCAAAAACGTGAAGGTTACCTGCCCAGTTACTAAGGCAATCACACAGCGGCATAGGAATTAGATGGGGGGCAGTGATGAATAGGGCTCGCCTGATACTTGTCGAGCTTTTGTCTTTAAATGCAGAGCACACCATGTGTCAACTCCAAGTAGCTGTGGATAGAATTTCTAGTATATCGATTTCTCGCGGCTGTACCTACGGTATGTGCTGTCGTCATGGCTAGAGATGGGAAAGAAGCTCTCGCAACGAAGGCGCTTGCTTAGCAGGATGAAACTACAGATGGCGAAGACTCAGCATCTAGGCTGCGCACGAATGTTCTTCTACGCCTACAATGGCCCCGATCGGTGAATCCCGAATCGCAGCAGCCATAATGTCGACGTGAGACCTACCACCGCATGCTGACGTAGGTACTCCTGGTTACGCCACCACAGCAAGGAACTGAACGGAATGCGCAAGTGCGAACATTAAACTACGAATAGGCATCAAAGCCTCGTTCCCCAGAACTTGCCATCCATGCCAAGGCCCGAGCAAGAGCCTTGATGTGGCCTTCAGGACTCGTCGAACCAACCTTGGCAAGGTACAAGGAGTTTCCAGATACAATATAGTATAGTAGTTTCCATTTTCTTTTCCATTATCCCTATATAACCCTATTATATTATAGTTTCCATTTTCTTTTCCATTATCCCTATATAACCCTACAAGACTTGAGTAGCTCGGGAGCTGATTCCGGCCTCACAAGGATTTCCGGGTCTCACTGTTGTGTGGGCCAGGGCTGAGTTGCCAATGAACACTTCGGCCTTCTTTGCACTAAGGTGGACCGAAGCAAGAGCCAAAACAAGGGCAAACACAATGCAGGGGTGCTTGGTTTAAGCGCGCACTTGGGGGTTTCCTAAAATTAGCACAAGGGAGCTATAGGGGTTCTATTGGGGCTTTCGAGGGTTCAGGGTTTAGGGTTTCCTAAAATTAGGGGTGCCTTTTTAGGGGTCCCCATATTCAGGATTCTAGTATTTTGGGGGTCACTCATTCCCTAAACCTACATAGACCCCATTGCGCCCTCCTGCGGGACCTCTCTACATCAGTCATGAACAGTCTAGAATAGTAGAATAACGGTCAGATTAACTGGGTTGACCCCTAAACCGCTTTTTTAAAAAATATGTGTATATACGGTCCCCTATCAAAGCCATGAAGGAAAATACAAAATATCCCAGGGGCCTACCAGTTAAGGGCTGTATATACAAAGCTCAGGAATAGTATCCGCCTGTTAAAGAGTCGAGGGCAGTACGTAATCACTGCCTTCCATTGCTTTCATATTTCGTGATGGGGCGGAAGTGCCGTGAACTTGACATGTTGAACAACCTGAATCTGAACCCCATAATCCGCCGAAAATGGTCCTGAATCTTTGACCTCTCTATAGATATATACATCTCCATTTCGACTTCATTTTCAATTTGACTCTCCTTTTGATGTTGTTGGCTTAGCACTCCTATATAACCCGCATATAACCCCTACATAACCCGGAATAACTTAGGAGGACCCCCCCGACCCTGTAATAGTGGTATACTAGGATTATAAGAGGACCCTAATATGATCCTTATTCTCCCTTATAGTCACTGTTACAGGGTGGGGGGGTCCACCTAAGGAATAACACCTGAACCCTAAACCCAGAAGTCCAAGTGGCTCAGCCGCCAAGTCGGCGAATCATGGCGCGTTTCGCCACTCGAGCCAGACCAGCCCAGGCAAATTTGTTTAGGGCTTTAGGGTTTAGGGCTTAAGCTGGGGACTGTATGGGGTTCCATAGGGCTTGAATTGAACAGAGAATGGAAACTCTAGATGCGTTATTCTGAAAATTATGGCCGTTTTGGTTAAAAGATAATACGGCACCTAATATTTTAGGGTACCAGAAAGGGACGCTAGTTTAGGGAACTTCCCATATAGATAAGGGTCAGAGGCTTAGGTAAAGTCAGTTCGGGTCTCTTCGGGAATGAAAAAGAAGATTGAAACTACATCAGGCTAGGGTTCAGGGTTTGGGGTTATACAGGGACATGGTAGGGATTACGAACGTATATATAAGGATGCCACTTGCCAGTTGTATGGTCCTTCAAAGGGTTCCCTCTAGCTTTTCGAGGTTACATAGGGATACATAGGGTTTGGAGGTAGAGAACGGAGAATCAAATAGAAAATCAAATGTAACATGACATGTAAGCCTGGGGTTGCAATGGTGAATACAGGCTTGTATAGATCCCTTTCACGGGCTTCCTGTAGCAAGGATTTTCTTGTGCGAAGTCTTCTTTGCGTGACTGTAACAGGCCAGTTTCTGAGCATGAGGGCCTATCACAAGAGGTTGCCCCTACAGCATATGGAGGTCTATCTTAGAACCCCTACTCATGGCAAACCCATATACACCCATTTAAACCATTATAACTCTAACCCCCAGCCCCAGCTTCGATTTGATCTTCCAGGTACTTCTCCATTTGATTCTTCATCTTGCCCCAAACCTTATGAAATCCCATAATATCCCCAAAGCCCTAAGCCATAGATATCTCTGAGCATGCCCAACGACACCTCGTCAGGACAGGCAACCTAAACATTAAAGTAGAGACCTGAAAGCCTGCTAAGGAACTTGGGGCCTTAATAATTACCCGGCTGCGGATTCCGGGTTTTACGGCTTAGGGGTGTGGTGTTTATTGTTTAGGATTTTGGGGTTCAGGGACATTATCGTCCCCTAAAAGGTCGTCGGGACATAAAGGGTTTAGTGTTGTGGGATTACGGATTAGCATACCGAAAGACCATGCGCAACAAACTGGAAACTGCAGTTAAAAGGCGGTAAAGCTGCCATGAGGAGGAAGCCAGGTTCTTGACTTTATAGCAGCGTTATGATTACGTAATTCAAATTCCTTAGCAGGAGCTAAGTAAACCAGAAAAGAGAGTTGAAACATTATCTGTTCCGAGTGGGGTGACCTATATAACGCCAATTACAGGATTAAGAGAACGCTTTGACCGCAATTGAAAAAAGACGTTCTATTCGCCCCTGGCTTTGCTTCTGCAGTAAGAAGTTTAGGAAACCTGCTTTGACGAATAGGCCATTGAGACAGCTACAAGAATCTCCCACGGAACACTACCATCGAAGTGTGACAAGCGCCGCAACACCGTACAAGGCCTAAAACCAAGAGGACTTGTGCAGGGAAAGCTTCCAATGGACTCCTTCAGACTTTTTCTGCCGCTACCGCCGGAAATCGCGCATCTCTACGCCGGTGGCACCGGCGCCTGCTCGTCCTCAGCTTCACTTTGGGTTCCCGCATGGGCAAAAAATAGCGGTCTTCTTTTGGAGGCTCCTACAACAAGGGTCGGAGATTGGTAGAGTAGATAGCATCCTACATGGCCCAACATTTACACATCAGGGCTTTGGCATCCAGGAGCTTTTATATAATTTCTCAGCAGTACAGGTCTGTTTTTGCGATGTTGCAGGAAACGGTTAGCTAGGCCTCAGAATAATCAAACTAAGTGCAGCAAAACCGGCAGGCATCAGAACATGGTGTTTAAGGACTACCTGGAGATCCTCGTTGACTATGCTTAGTATCATGTTTACTCCAAAATTTCTACAATCGTGTGTCATACATAGTCATGCTGAACTCAATCTCCGGGTATATGTCTAGGGCGTGGGGTTAGGGTCAAGCGAACCCAACCAGGTTGGAAGGCCTTTGAAAAACATGGGGTGTAGGGAGTAAGGCTTTTATAGAGATTTTCTGCAATAACAAACAAGGAACTACAGTACCAAGATGGACTACACCCTACATCACCCAAATAGAAGGCTTACTTCCCGTTGCTTTTCCTGTTGCTGGTCCCAGGATAGCTTTAAGGTTGGCTACCTCGGCTGACGAATATATAAAATGCATATTCGAAGGCTCCTTTCAAAGGGTATTGGGCGATTGTATGTATATATATAAATGCATATGTACATATTAGATTGCAGCTCGAAGGTTGAGTTTGACCTGTGCAATGTATGGGGCGTTGCCCACAAGTAGGGGTCTCTTTTCTGGGGGTCCACATGCTCAGGGTTTTAGCATTTTGGGGTCTATCTTGGGGTTCCTTCATTCAACGGAACCACAATATCAAACTGAGTAACGCAAGAATTGCTATGGTTGTAACTCATCTTGGGTTGAAAATATATGCCTCGAAAAATGGTCCCGAAATCAAGAATCTTAAAGCATCCAGTTCTTGCAGCCGACCCCTAACCCAAACCCCAATTTCCAACCACCAAGGAGGATTTTTTTGGGGTTGTGGTGGTTTATAGGGCTCATTTAGGGGTTGATTTTATAGGGTTATATAAGTTACATAGGGTTTAAGGTTTAGTGTCTAAAGGAATATGCCTCCTCATATCCCCATGTAACACCCCGTATATGTTTTCACTGTTTCTTCCGTTCCATCAATAGCAAAGACTGCAGAGGCCTTGCAGCCTCCTACCACCTAAGTTTCCACGTCATGTTCCATTTCCTTTTTCCATCTGATTCTCAATATTCTTCCCTGACCCTAGACCCTAATTAGCCCCCGACCCTAAACCCTAATTAGCCCCCCACCCTTTTGCCTCTTGTCGGGGGCTAAACCCTAAAACCCAAACCGCAACCCTAAACCCTAAACCCCTAACCCTGAACCCTTAACCTAGCGACCATGATTTGGTCTAGGAGCCAGGAGCCCAACCCCGACCTGGATTGAAGCCGCGGCCGCGCGCCCCCTGTACGGTTTGGGATACTGTTGTTTAGGGCTTTTGGGGGTTCAGGGTTTGGGGTGTAGAGTTTAGGGTGTCAGGATCTAAGGCTCAGATATCCTAAAAACTTGCTGAGAGTTCACATCGGCTATTGCACACGTGGGTTGAAACAGAACACACAGCTCCAATGTAGACGCGTGCAAACCCTATAAAGGCGTATACTATCGCAGTTTCCATGTTCTTTTCCTTTCGATTCTCGACTGTTCTACCCCCTGAACCTTCTCTATCCCAACATAACCCTTATAATGGCGTATAAAACTCGGGAGTGCACCATGAAATTGCCGGGTCGGCTGCGGATGCTGCGCCTTGTCTATTTCCCTCCCTCTAATATCAAGAACCCACCCGCACCCCCTCCTCTTAATATTAGCAGTGTGGTATACTATATAACAGTATACCGGGAACATCTAATAAGAGATTTTAATCTCAGGGAGAGGGGATTACAAGGATTACCTGGATTTGAAGCTGTTTTACCCCTGCTTCACCTTGTAGACGCTGGTTCAGATACGTGGAGACGGGGCAAAGGTACATACATGGGTACATTCCTGATTGACCGAAACTTTTTCCATCAAAAACATATATGAGCTACATTCAACATTTCTTACAACATCTAATGGACATAGGGACTATATTGTGGACTGTTCTAAACTACAAGAGGGACCCCGCCATCCACGGGTCCCTTAATTAGCTTAGTATTGACGGTAGCTCATATATGATAAGAGATGTCTCAAGTGAAGCCAACACCTCTACCGCCTCTGAGTTACAAGAAAGCCATGATTGTCAACTGTTTCAGGGACAGGCTGAAACATTGCAGACGTGGTAGAAAGCACTCAGCCACAAAAGCGCCGTCCAACTGTAGGAACCCAAGCAGGAACGTAACTTTGACAAGCTACCACATGAGGATTGCAGGAAATGATAGGCGTCTCTCATGAGGCAGAAACAAAATTGTCTCGCGTGCTTGCTTGGCATTATCTTGGAGATATGCGTGTCTACAAGGATGGTATTGCTTGTGCTTTGATCTTGTGGGGCACTCTCTCCCTTCTCCCCAGGCCCGAAACTCTAATCCCCAAGGCCCTAGGTTCGAATCCCGAAGCTCCTAATCCCTGAGCCCAGTCCCAATGTCCGTAGGCTGTAAAGCCCAGAAGTCTGTTCAACTACAAATACTAACAAGAATACGTAGCACAAATAATAACAATAATAGCAATCAAGATTTCGAATACCAATAACAATAAACCAAGAACCCTTAGATCGTACGCATCCCTAAGCGCTTTTTGCATCCAGCCTGAAACGACCCTAATTCTCTCTCTCTCTCTCACACCCTGAACCGCTAAACCCTACACCCTACGAACCAAAGGGGGTACCTCATCCCAAAACAATGTAGCATTGTCCCTTTGCTTGTCCATGCCCCTATATACCTCTGCCCCTAAACCCTTTTTGCATCTGGTCTCCTTGATGCCAGAGGGCGCCACGTCAATGCTTAGCACTACTGGCTGAGGCATCACAATGACACATCAACTGGAATACAGAGTTGCCAAATGACTGATTCTAGCTACCTGGTTGTCAGGCAGTATGCTAAAAATGACAACTTGCCGAACAGACTTCAGTGCAGCCTCGCCGATATCCGAGTACCCTTTTTTGCATCTGGGCTCGCACACAGCCAGAAAGATCTCCGACCAAGGCCCGGGAGCACAAGCGCTCACTGGCTTGACTTCCCGACTTCAGCAAGAAAAGAAGCGGACACAACCGCACATTGAACTACCTTGTGTTGCGAAAGACTAGCCACATGAAATTTCTGAGTTTGAATCCGAGTACCCTAAACCCTAAATCCCTAAGCCCGAATCCCTATCTCCGTAATCCCTAAACACTAATCCCTAAATCCCTAAACCCCAAGCCCCACCTTGCCACCCTGGGCCGCAGCGTTGGCAGCTGGCAGCGTTGGACGCTGGAGCCCTGAGGGCTTCTTCGCTCTGAGGTAGAAACCAACTTACTATCGTACTTACTCTACCTCATATGTACTAAGTGGTGAGTGAGCGAGCGAGTGAGTGAGTGAGCGAGCGAGGGAATGAGTGAGTGAGTGATATGTAGGCTTAAGGGTCCCTAGAATCCCCTTATAAGGCCAGAGGGCCCATATCAGGGGCCCATACTTCTAACCTTCGATTCGATCTAGGGATATAAGCTATGGGGTGTGGAGTAAAGGGATTTTAGGGGTTGATCTAGGGACATATAGGAGTTATATATGGATGCAGGGGGTTTACGGGTAGCAAGGTCTTGTTTTAGGTGAAGGGTCCTTTCTATGCAGGCTTGGGGTAACTGAAACCCCCTCAACATAATAAAATAGAACACTCCGCACCGCCTGTACTTCGATCAGGATTTCGGCTTTTAGGGTTCAAGGGCTTCAACACGCACGTCACACCGCGGGCGCAGCAACATCCAGGAGTTCAAGCCCAGCTTGCGGGTTCCGTGATTCTTTTTTCGGTTGTGAAGGGCCCCGCTACAAACCATTTTCGTCGGGTGACATGGACTTACTGATTGCAGTTGGTAGGAAATGGAGAAATTGATCTTGGCAGTGAACCCTGTATACCCCCCCTCAAAAGCGTCCATGCTCACGCTCTTTTCCATTTCTTTATTTCCTACTAACAACCCTAAAAGTAGCAACCACTTTCGTTAAACCCTCTCTCCCTCCCCCACAGATTCAGTTGCCTGTGAGCCGCGATGCTCGTTAAAGTTTGTTACTAACAATCTTAGTCCCTGAGCCCTATCGTAGCTTCCACTTTCTGTTCCGTCCCAAACACACAGCCACCTGCTTCTATTTCAGTTTCCATGTGCTTAGCCCAGCTGATTCTTCTTCACTCTGCCAACCCTTAAGGCCTTAAGAATCCACATAAAACCCATTCTCTGCTGAAAGTTACCAACTGGAAAGATCTGGGTGTCAGGCGCTCGTTCAGCTCCCGGATTTGCGCTCGCTCACGCTCCAGCGCTGCCTCCAGGTCGCCTGGGCATATGAGCTATAGTCTAAACTCCTAGTATCCCCCGTTTATAATGGAGAATCAAATGGAAAGCAAATGGAACATGAAATGGCAACCGGGATTAGATTGGGGATTATAGGAGTTGTAGTCTAAACTCCTAGTATCCCCCTTAACAACCCCTATAGTAGTCCCCTAAATAACCCCCTTTCAGGAGTTTCGACTGTGGCTATAATGATGGTTGATGGACAGGGTTCCTATTGGGGAATATACTGGGGACTATACTTTTTGAATCGGCCAGCGAAATTAGCAAGGGACCCATGTCCGCTCGTAATGGCAGTTGCTGACAGGGCATTGTAAACCCTTTAATTAACCATCAAAAAGGTGCCTTCGAGGCTTACTGTGCCATTTTTGGTTGAGGGTTGGTATGGGGTTTGTAGCTGACGCGTACATGGTTCACTGGGTACAGTGAGGGACCATTCATTTGTCCATGAAGATGCCTGTTTTTTTTGAAGCACCGTTTTGTTTCAAATATGTGTCGTTTTGCCTGTTCCCATGTGTAGGACTTGGATGCTCGCATCACGGCCCTGCAGAACATGAAAAGGGACTTAAAGCGCCAAGAAAAGGAAGCTGCTCGAGAGCTGAAAGTTGCGCGCCAAAAGCGACGCAGGCTTGTCTACATCCACAGGTAACAGGTAACTGTGACAATTGATTCCAAGATATTTTTGCGGATCAGGCTTATGCAGGCTGCAAAAAAGCTACCAGAAGAAGATCTGAGAATGATCATTGCCATGAAGCAAGCAGCTCGCGTGCTGGACTGAGAAGTGTTACACAGTGGTTTTTGACTGTCACATTTGGTGGGTTCAGCTCAGGCAGGTGTCAACTGAACACGTGAGAACATTACTGCAGTCCGTACAACGGATTGTCGTGCAGTACAGAAGCATAGAAGCACGACAAGTTTGAAGGTTGTGTTTGTGGCAAGTTTGCGGGCTTGGAAAAGTTGCCTGAGCAGTTGACAACTTCCGAAAGCACGCGCTGCGTGGCAACTTGTACAGCTTCCTCGTTGCAAACGAGCTTGACGTCGTTTCAAGAGCTCGCAACAGACAACCCGCTTTGTCTTGAAAACAATCCTTTTCCAGACCCTCGTTTGTGTTCGTAGTCGGAGATTTTGCAAATATGTTCAAAATTTAATTCAAAATAGGCCAAAACCTTTCAAAATGTAGCCCGGCTTGCCACTCCAAGCATCGATTGTTTTGAAAGTGCGCCGTCTGCTCTGGCTAAAGAATCCTAAGCCCGTCCAACAGGTTAAGTGATCGAGCCTCCTCATCCGGGGCCATTCGAACCGGACGTTGTGACATGTGCTACCAAACGCCTAGCGAGAGACGAATAAAATGCAAAAAACAGTGCAGGCTCGAAGACGGAGCTATTTACCAACATAAAATTTTCATAGGACGGTTTTGCAGCAGCCATCGAAAGCAGCGAAAATCATGGCATCTTCAAAATCTGGACCATCCGTGTGTTTGTTAGGAGCAGGCGTTTCTGTGACACCTGTTTTCAAATGCTCGTTTTGGGCAAGCATGAATTTGAGGCCATTGGCCTTTTTGAGCCCAAAAAGGGAATGGTCCGCTTCTTCTCCGAAATGGTGTTTTTTCCAACACCGCGCAAACAGAAATTCGAAGTCCATTTTGCCATTTTGAGCCCCCAAAACGGGGATGATGGGCCAGAAACGGCCTGCATCTTGTCAGAAATTGCCTTTTTGGTTAATTTTGGTGGTAGCTAGGCTTGAACAAGCACCAAATCGTGTGACAGTTGCCATTTTTGGATCCGAAATGGCAAAAACTGGGGAAAAACGGCCGATTCAAAATAGATTGCCAAAATTCGGATCCAGGGGCAGAAAATCATAAAGTTGGAACTTTTTTTAAAACTTGGTATCCAGTTCTATAAAAAGTTGCAACTTTATGATTTTCGCCCTTCGGGTCGAAATTTTGGCAATCTATTTTGAATTGGCCGTTTTCCCCAATTTTTGCAGTTTTGGATCCAAAAAGTGGCAACTGTCATAGAGATCGGGGTCCGCGATGGTTTTCGCATGGTTTTCGCTTCGAATTGGAAGTAGAATGCTCCCTGAGAGTGGATTCTGCTCGGTCAGCATTTTGTTCAAAATGCGAAGAGGGTCTATGCACAGTATGTGTTCAGCCAAGTCTGGCCTTCATTCTGCGACTTCCTTGAATTTCAAATCCGCAGGACATGTTCAACACATCTTCTCTTTTGAGTTTTACCATCCGTGCAGCAATGGTAAATGACAGTTCCTCAAGTTCTTCCTCATCTTCTGCTTCTGCAGATGATGTTGACATGGCCAACATCCAGGCACGCTTGTCTCGCAAGTTTCGCCGCGGAAACATGTTTTGCGTGTGTGCTTCGTTTCGACAGGGCGTGTCCTCGGATGAAGACGCAGACCGACCCAGCGAGTCCAAAGCAAGGGGCATGTGTGGACAGTTTGTTTGGCCTTGTCCCCGGGAGTATCCGTCTGAGTTAGCTACTCGCCGCGACTTGAAGATGCTCATTCCGGAGGATATGTCCAAGCAACAAGTGGGTGAGATGTTCAAGAAGGTAGTTTGCCAGGTGGGTCAGCTTCCCAACTTGGATCGTTTGCATATCTTCGACGAACCCCACAAAAAGTACAATCCGGCAACCGGCCAGAGAGCCCGGCACTATCACATCATTTTCCGCTTCAAGAGCACGTTTGCGCAAAAAAAGGTGTGGACCCCGAAAAAG